ATGATCAGAGCCACAATCAGCTCCAGGTCTTGTTTTTGCTGACTGTATAGAGCTTCTCCATCTTTGGCTGCAGAGAACATCATCAATCTGATTTCAGTATTGCCCATCTGGTAATGTCTATGTGTAGAGTTGCCTCTTGTGTTGTTGGAAAAGAGTGTTTGCAATGACCAGCTTGCTCTCTTGACAAAACTCTATTAGCCTTTGCTCTGTTCCGTTTTGAATTCCAAGGCCAAACTTATCTGTTGTTCCTTTTATCTCTTGACTCCCTACATTATCATTCCAGTCCCCTATAATGACAAGAACATCTTTCTTTGGTGTCAGTTCTAAAAGGTATTGTACATCTTCATAGAAATGGTCAATTTCAGCTTCTTCAGCATCAGTGGTTGGTGCATAAACATTGATTACTCTGATGTTGAGAGATCTGCCCTGGATTCGTATTGAAATCATTCTATCATTTTTGATATTGTATTCCAGTACAGCTTTCCCCACTGTTTTGTTGACTATGAGGGCTACTCCATTTCTTCTACGTGATTCTTGCTCACCATAGTAGGTATGATAATCGTCTGAATTGAATTCGACCATTCCCATCCATTTTAGTTCACTGATGCCCAGAATGTCAATGTTTATTCTTGCCATCTCCTGTTTGACCACCTCCAGTTTCCAAAGGTTCATAGATCTTACCTTCCAAGTTCCTATGTAGTATTTTTCTTTGCAGCATCAGATTTTCCTTTCACTTCCAGGCACATCCACAGCTGAGCGTCCCTTCGGCTTTGGCACAACCACTTCATTAGCTCTGGAGCTACTTGTACTTGTCCTTCGTGCTTCCTCAGTAGCATGTTGGATGCCTTCCGACCTGAGGGCCCATCTTCCAGCATCATATCTTTTAGCCTTTTGTTTCTGTTCATGGGGTTTTCTTGGCAAAGATACTGGAGTGGCTTGCCAGTTCCTGCTCCAGGTGGATTGCGTTTAGTCAGAACTCTCCATTATGACCTGTCCATCTTGGGTGTCCCTGCACGCCATAGCCCATAGCTTCTCTAAATTACTCAAGCCCCTTCACCATGACAAGGCAGCAGTCCGTGAAGGGGTTTCCCATATTGGCTGACCACAAACAAGATATGAGGACGATAGCCCTTTTCTACAGTTCTTTTATTTATGAAGTGTTGGAAATCACAGACCTTAGCAATAGGGCTTTTACATTTGTCTCGTTTGCTGGATAAGGAACAATGAGCATATATATAATGTGCAGTTAACAGCAGATATCTATCCTATATACATTGCTTTCACTGGGATACACATGTGGATTCACTTCTCCATCCCCATTCTGGCACAACTAGTTATGTCCAAAACTTTTTTTAAGTAACTAAAACTAGAGCACTACCATATAAAGGTAGAGAAGAATTCTGTTTATTTCCCAGTTAATATGAATGAAATCTACTTAAAACTAAGCACTGCTAACTAAAATGAACTTTAATGCTCCCATTTGAAAAACGAACTGTTGATTTCAATTTCTCATTAAAATCAAAACCAATACATCCTCAACATTTGCAAAATTGTTTCCGCAGAAAAAGCAGGATTGTGCGGATCCAGTGTTTGCCTATAGGGGACCCTGTGTGGAGCCCCTACCCCAGTTAGTATTGGAAATTCCCGTTGAGAAGGCAGCAAACATGCCTGTACTTCTGTCCTATGAATACCATGTCAGGACCTCAATAAAATGTCTGAACTGAGTCCACGTTTCTGCTAACATTTGGCACTGCTTAAATTTACTATTGATTTCTTAGTAAACAAAACACGTGCTCCTTGCATTAAAGCTGTGTAAAAGAAGAGTGGGCTTACTGTTGCAACGTAATGCAAAACGGGTAGATTCAGCTCAGTAAAAGAAGAGTGGGCTTACTGTTGCAACATAATTGCAGAACGGGTATATTCAGCTCAAATGTTTTTTTTTTAATCCGGGGACGAAGGTTTTTTTTGTTTGTTTGTTTGTTTTGTAATCCGGGGACACTCACCCCGAAATCTGCTAGCCTTGGAAGTGCCACAATACTTTGGTTCTGTTTTGTTTTCGTTTGACAAACTTTCTTTTAATTAATGAAGCATGCTCCCTGGGTGGGTGGGGGGTCGAGGAAGTTCGGAGGGCGGGAACAGCTTGACAAGTCCATATTGTTATCTCCTGTTCGCCTGGAATGAATTAGGGTCACCAGAGGCGCCTCCGCCCTCAGCGGCGGCTTTCGAGGGCGCACTGCTCGGAACTCCAGTCAGGGGCTCTCGCGCCTTAGCGGGCAGGAAGTCGAGTCCCTGTGGGAGAAAAGGGGGGAACTTGAGCGCCGCTCTCTTTTCAGCAGTCTTGAAGGGAGAAGGCTTCAATTCAGCACTCCTGGCAGCACCGTCTCCCCCACCACCACCTTTTCCCCCCCTGCTGAGAGAGTTTTACGGGACGGCGGTTGGGGGAAAGCGGAATCTGCCCAGCTCGACGCCCAGGCACAGGCGAACGAACAAAGAGACCCAACTTCTTGGAAAGGACCTGTTTTTGTTCCTTGAGGGTGGGTGGGGACAAAGTGGCGGGGAATTCTCCACACCCACAGCGCCCAGCCTGGCGAGCTGGCGGCTGAAGCCGTTTCTTGCTGCAAACACGTATTATTCGCACACGCTGAGCGCTGAAGCCTTGGGGCTGGAGGGGAGACCCGACCAGGCGCGGGAACCGAGTTAGTCCGATAAGGAACAGAAAGGAAAAGGAGCCAGGCAGCCGACTCCGGGAGTTTAAGGGAGGACAAGAGGCGCCTGGCGTGAACCCTGCCTCTTTCAAACGACTTCTTTTTGCCCTCTCAGATCTTCCAATGGAGGCAGCTAGAGAACCTGTACTTCAGAGAGAAGAAGTTTTCCGTGGAAGTGCATGACCCACGCCGGTAAGACTGCATACAGTAACATTGAGTGGCTTTTAAAAGAATTTGCTTTGAGGAAAAGTCGTACCTGTTGCGCCTATGTGTGTAAAAGGGAGAGAAGCTATGCGATTTTTCATTTTCAGCGGGGTGGATGCTGGGCAGAGCAACGTCCTACTCTCCACTGTAAGTAAATAAGATACAGTATTTAGTAAAATTCCCATCTATGTTTTCACAGAGAGAGAGAGAGATTTGGTGAATGCTTTACATTAAGGGCCCTCTATTTTTGAAAATGGGTTAACAGCAAGAGCCCTGTTCTAGTGTGCTTGGAAGTATGTCCAGTTATTAGAACTGCATTGGTTAGAAATGAGCATGCAAGATGTGTGTAGGATCACAGGCTTGATGAAGAAGGTAAGCATCGGTAGGTTTAAAGCATTCTCCTCAAACGTTATGAAAGGGGATATTGGCGATCCCTGAGCTTTTAGGCAAGTTCCCCAGCTTCTTTTTCGCTTACTTGTATAAATCCTGAGTGAACTATTTTATGTTTACTCAGTTCTGTTTATTGCTTACAGAATAATTCTGTAGATATGCATGCTTGACTCTTTTGCTGTAAGCCATATTCTGTTTCCCTCCCTTCTGTTTTGCTGCTTAATATATTGTAACATGCTACAGTTCTTTTATATTTGGTACTGGTTTGTTTTCTTCGCCCTTTTCAGTGCACCCTTGGTTTTGGCAGCTGTACAAGGCACACATAATAGTATGGTATAATAAAACTATAAATGAAAGTCCTGTAATTACTAGCTTGGTCATATAGCTTATGGCAAATTGTTACAATGTATGTCACTAGTTCAACATGCTGCTATAATATCCTTACAAATGCTTTTTTCAGTTTGGTTTATTTCTACATATGCTGTGTCTGGAAACTAGGAAGTTGAAAATCAGGCTTTGTGTATGCTGATGTTCATAGTTCACAGTTCAGCTGGAGTGCACTGAGTTAATTCTGTGTCTTGATTGAGTATTGTTGCCGCCTCCCCCATGATTCTGCTAATCAGCAGAAATTACATGGGAGCAATGCTGATCTGGCATAAGGAGGGATTTTGTTTGTTTGTTGCTTTTTGCTGTGTACAGTTCCTGTCACTCTACAGGCTTTTTCATGGTTACCCTGTATTGCTGAGGTTTCTACTTATACAGGCTTTCAGTGTTTTCACAGTAGCTGCCAGCTTTGAAATGTGAAAAGCAATAGCTGCAGATTAGGTGTAGGTGAATTATATTCTCCACATTGTGACTAGGATTCTGCTTCTCCAGAATATTACTTTTGGCCATAATCCACTGGGAAGTTTTCCATACAAATTTCATTGAATGAATATGTATAGGAAAAGAACATAGCAGTTTCAGTTGTGATTAGACTTAAAAATAAGTAATATTGTCCCCAACCAAACTGTGTATCTCATTGGGACTAGAAATTACTGAATATACTTATTTTGCAACATAAATTTCCAGATAGGGACCTTTGAGAAGTGAACTATATACATTATTAATGCCTGTTTCCATATGCATTATCAAAGCTTTCTCTTCTGTTGGACTAATTTTTGGATTGAAGCATGTAATTTCTCAAATTATAAAAAGGGAAAGGGAAAAGGTGTAGAAAACAATACTAATGCATTATTATGTATGGTATACATTTAGACAGCCAAACAAAATATTTCTTTCTCCTTACAGAGAAATTTGTGTAGCTTAAAAGTTTACATTGTATTAGATGGGCAGAAATATCAGAATGGAGTGTGTAAGCCTGGGAGAAGTGTGAGATATGGCATTGGGTTCAGAATTCAATTTCAAATCAATATAAAAAAATTGAAGTTATGTGGGTAGTGTTTGGTAAAATTTCAAAAGCCACAGATGTCTGAATTAAGATTTTAAGATTTAAGGTTAGGATTGCTATATTCACCCCTTTTTTTATTGGAGGAACAGAATATATTATGCAAAATGTAGGCTAATCAGCAAAATCTGGTGTATCATATTTTCTTGGCAGAAATTTTGCCTGTCTTGGCATAACATGTTTGTTATGCCAAGACATAACCCAGCACCATCATAAATGTTGCTTCTGTGTTGACTGTGTGTAGAATTTTTGAAAACAGCCATATTGCTGCTGTGTTTCTTAAGTGGAATGCTTAAAAAAATACTAGTAGCAGTACAGCATAGTATGTTTTGTGCTAGTCCCATACTCTGGAGTTTTTACAGGAATTTAAGACATATAAATAGGTAAACATTTGTATCTGGGCACAGAAACATTGTCTGTGCCTGGGATAAGAATTTAAGGTATGCCTGCCCCTAAGTGTTAGGCTCTAGGGACATTTGGCAGTTGACCACATTACTGCATGTAGCATAGGGGAGGACTATGAATCATGCCCTGTGGCTTGCAGTTCTATTCACATAAATTCCCAGGTCTTGTTTCTTCACTTTGATGCAAACAAGATGGTTATTTATAGTTCTTATTTTCATTGGGCTAGTTTTCCCTGCATCTGGAAGCATGTCAGTGAATACATGCAGTGTTCTGAAGTGTGAACAAATTTAAAAGAACATAGCTCAGATATCAGATTGAGTTTATATTCTTCTTTATGAAGGAAGTGCTTAGATCGGCTTTTCCTAACTAGTATCCTCCAGGTGTGTTAGACTGCAACTCCCATCATCCCCATCAACACATGTATGCACCGACAGTGTTTATGGCAGTTGTACTCCAGCACATCTGAAGGACACTGGTTAGGAAAGGCCTGCCCTAGATAGTTACATTTTATTGTTAGTTGGAAACCTATGTTATAGAATACTATTATATCAGCCTACAGAAAACTCTGTAATTTCTGTTGTGCTTTAACAATCCACTCCATCATATGAAATTTTGTTTTCTGTATTGCTTTTCAAGGATACAAAGCCGTGCTTCCTTGGATGTGAACCGCGTAGTACAGAAATATTTTTTATTGTTTAGTCATTTAGTCATGTCTGACTCTTCGTGACCCCATGGACCAGAGCACGCCACGCCCTCCTGTCTTGCACTGCCTCCCGGAGTTGGGTCAAATTCATGTTGGTAGCTTCGATGACACTGTCCAACCATCTCGTCCTCTGTCTTCCCCTTCTCCTCTTTCCTTCACTCTTTCCTAACATCAGGGTCTCTTCCAGGGAGTCTTCTCTTCTGATGAGATGGCCAAAGTACTGGAGTCTCAGCTTCAGGATCAACCTTTCCAGGGTTGATTTCCTTCAGAATGGATAGTTTTGATCTCCTTGCAGTCCAGGGGACTCTCAAGAGTTTCCTCCAGCACCACCATTCAAAAGCATCAATTCTTTGGCGGCCAGCTTTCGTTAATCTAATAACAGTTTGTTTAAAAGTTAGTCGTGTTCTGACAGTCAACTAGGAAACCTGGATCCAGAAGGAATATATTTAGGATTCTAGGCTTCTGACTCAAGTGGGATGGTGTTTTAGGATGAATTGCTTAAAGAAGTGGGGGTAGAAGAAAGGCAGTAGCAGCTATATAATACTTCCTGAGCGCCTTGCTTTTGGATTAGTTACTTGCTACTTTTCATCAGTATATATACAAACAGGGACATGTACAGAACTTGCAGTTTTGTACCCACTGGGGCAGGAGGCACATTTTGCATTGAAGCATGGGTGGGAACTAGAGATGGGGGTATTTGTATATGAATACGAATACGCCCCACAGGTGGAGATAATGAGGATCCAGCCCTCTGGGGCCAGAGCATCCACACACTGTTCTGCTGCTGCTCCGGGCTCCCTTCCTATCATTCCTTAGCTTGCGGTGGATTAGCCACTCTTCAATGTGGCAGAGAAGCTCATCATTCTGCCTTCTGCCTGCAGTGGCTAATCCACCGTGAGCTCCGGAGCAATAGTGTGAACATCCCCAAGGAAAAGGGAGGAGCATATAGTACTTCTCCCCCCCCCCAAAAAAAAGAGGAAAAGGAACATAGTGGTACTGTATCCATACTCTGCATTGCCAGATAGTGGTAAGGACAGATGTGGTTGTGTTGCCCATGCCTTGTATTCTGTTCCCAAGAAGGAGGAGAAGGTTATGGCAGCAGCATTACTGGGAATTCCTCTATCTTCGTCAAGAAAGAGGAGGAGGACTGCCCAGCTGCTGCCAGCAGCTTCTGTATTTCCAAAATGCCTTGTTTTCAGGGTCCCCTGGGGAGAGCAATCAGGGAAATCCCCTGCACAGGTTTTCACTTAATGTCATCTGAAAGAGGCTTTCCTGCATCCCTAGCTATTTGGACCTCCTTTGCCATATTTTCTCTATGTAATCCTGGGAAACCCAGTTTTGAGGATTCTAGAAATGAATCATTCTGGAAATAACTGCTGTTCCTGACTGCCAATAGGTATCCTCCTTCCCTTTCTTGAAGGTGGCAGAACAGCCCCAGCTGCTGCCACCAAAATCTTTTCCTTGAAGCAGTGCCAGTCCTTATCATTGTTCAGTAGGGCAGAGGATGGCCACAGTGCCTTGATGTCTTTTTTGTTTATTTAAAAATGTAAACATTCTCCTTCTTTGGGGGGGAATGTTAAGGAATGGCAATTTTTCTCTCTTGAGTAGTGGAAGCATTCAAGTAGTCCTAAGGAGAGAATCCCTGGAAGTGAATATGGCTGGGTGAATGTTGCTGTTCATTTTCCTAATTTTTACTAGTAAGTCGTTAAGTTGCAGTGCCCTCTTAAGTATTTGCACCTTTATATGTGAAAGCGCTAGAGAGGACCCAATTAATCTAGCCATATTTATTTGGAGTACCTCTACATTACAAGGGAAACACGGGTTGTCAATCAACTCAACCCAGTGGTTCCAGTGTCTGTCCAGTCCTTTGGATTGGGAGGATATACAGTGAGTACCAGTCCTGGCAAAGGAGGAAATGGCCCAACTGGACAGTTTCAACTCAAGGAAGTCTAAGGTTTTTCAAAATGCACACACAATTCGTATACTGAGGAATCATAGCCTGGTATAAAGTTAAGAATTAAAAGGAGCCCATTCAGTTTTCATAGCAGGAAAGGCGATGCTGCAGGAATTGAAATATACCACTTCTGTTTGTGAAGTATTTATGTACTGGCGCTGAGGAAAATGGGTGGTTCTAAGAGGGGCATCTCTGAAGAGCAGTGTCACAGAAATAGTGACAATGTCAGTAGTAGTAGAAATCCAGAACTTTTCTCTGTGTTGATAAATAAATAATTGATTTGCTGGCTAGTTTAGTGTTTTGTTTCTAGCATCAGTTGCAGGAGGTTCACAACTATCAGGGCATGAGGGTGACACTTATTTTCTGGTTTTGGTCTCACAGCTTAGCTGTTGTTGGCATTGATATTGTCGTTCCTCCATAATCAACGCATGATAGATCTTTATATTACATACAGTGCTTATAGCATGCAAAATGTTCTATCTAGTACACACACAAGTGGCAGCAATGTTGAGTTTGACACTATAAAACACAAGAGTTAGTTACATTGCTATAGTGTTTGGAATCTCCTGAGTATATGCTGTTATGAGGTGCAGCTGAAGGTTCATAACCTTTTGTGCATACAGCAGCAATGATTTCTTATTTCATCCATCTCCCTCAGAGAGGGATGGAAACAGGTTTCCAGAGGTGCATTTGGTATGAGAATAAAGCAGTACATCTTGGCAGACAGAAGTATTATTCAAATAATATTGCCATTACATCTGGCTCCTGGAACACTCCTTTCACACTGTCTGATTCTTCCACTTTCCTGTCTTATATACCTTTCCTGTAACCTCCACTTTACCTTTTAAGGCTTTTTTTTCCAGTGACCATATTTCCTGCCTTAATGTACAGTTTTATTTGGAAAAGTCTTAATACCACATTCTTTAGTGCTCATATTTGATGTGTTGCATTCAATGCAGAAGTGATAAGGGAAAAAAAGTTGAAATCATACCAAATGCGACAGTTAACTTGCTGCTATGAAAATCCAAGTCTGGAGTAGCATTTTTATTGCTGGATCACCCAAGAACAATACAAAACAACAAAAGTGCAGTTGTTGGTGGTTTAGTTTCAACTTTCATTTAGCATCTGCTATTTCCCTCATTGAATGCTGAAACCTTTCTCAGCTATAGAAGTTAATTTGGAGTAGTTTAGATGCCTCTGCAGATTTAGAATACAGTCCTAAACCCATGTAATAGGGAACATAGAAAGCTGCAATGACTCTTAAAGAGTTTTGTAGAAATTTTCCATTCCTACCTGAAAATGCCAGGCATTGAACTTGAACAAAGACGTGTACTCTGATGTTGTGGGTTTTTCGGGCTCTTTGGCCGTGTTCTGAAGGTTGTTCTTCCTGACGTTTTGCCAGTCTCTGTGGCCGGCATCTTCAGAGGACTGGAGTAGGAACTCTCTCCATGCTCTGTTGGTGTTTGGTGGGTATTTATAGCTGTACTCTGCCATTGAGCTTGCATTTCTCTACTTGCCTAGGACCAGCCCAGTCACTGGGCAGACTGAAGCAGTTGCACTATGAGGCAGATTTTTGGTATTGTGAGAAGGCAGCAAATTATTATTTATTAATACATTGTTACTCAATTTTTGCTGTAATGGGAGAGTTGCTTGTGCAAAAAAAAAAATCTGTTTGCTTTGGGCATACTTTGCACCTTGACTGGGGGATATCTTTGTTGTTCTAACTTGAGAAAATTCCTTGCATCAGCCCTGCACCTATTTCTCTTTCACTAGGTAAACTCCATTGAACATAGTGGGTCATATCTCTGAGTAAACATGTATAGGATATTAAGACTGAAAGAGCTGGATATGTTTAGGAGAAGAGAAGGCTGAAATGCAGTGTGATAGACATCTTAAAATACTTGAAGGGTGGTTGCATGGAAGATGGAGCAAGGTTGTTTTCAGTACCTCTGGAGAGTAGGGCCCAAGTTAATGGATTCAAATTATGAGGAAGGAAGTTTCATTCAAATATTAGGAAGAGCTTCTTCACAGTAGGATGGTTTGCCTTGAAGGCTGGTAGACTCTCCTTCATTGGAGGTTTTTAATCAGAGGTTAGATGGGCACCCGTCAAGCCACGTTGGATCCTTTTTAAGGGGAAAGGTGGGATGGAAATATTTTAAATGAAATTAAATAACAAATAAAGGATGCTTTAGCTCTTGAGTTATTGCTTTGACGGGGATCTGACTTAACGTCCCTTCGGATCCTTTCCAAATCTACAGTTCTGTGATTCTATGACTGTTAGCATTTGAAGTTAACTACAAATTTAGCCCAGGGAACAGCAACACTGTTTTAAATAAGCCATCTTGTGGCAATTTTCTGTTACTTTGTTTTCATTAATATACAGTATTTTAATGTGATATTCTACCACAGAATAATATATATGAAACATGAAACAGTGATAATCAGTGATATTTAAAAACATGAAAAAACAATATAGGTAAATAATGGCAGAGGTTTGTTCAAATCCAGTTTAAAATCTGGATTTTAAAACTGTGAAAGAGTTGGGGCTAGATTGCTTAAAGGGCCATCTATTTGGCCCATTAATTATTTCTAATGAGGCTGAATTGCTTTTAAATAGCAATAATTGCCTGAAGAGCGGGGCAAAACAGAACATAAAATAAATAGTGGAGGATTTGCATTTTTTTTTCAGACACTGTGATGTCATGATAAATTGCTCATGTGCTGCAGAAATAATTATCACTCAGTTACCATATTGATTAAAAATTGTGTGATCTATTAGTAAAATACTTGTCACATTGTTGACACCAAATAATTTATATGTAACCATAAAATTCACCCCAGTGGACACCTCAATTAAAAAACATGGAAGGCAGTATCTCTCAAAAACCCAACTAAACATTTGCTAATGATACCTAGATCTTTTGAAACAAAGCCCTATGTGCCTTGGAAGGAGGAGCTATTTTTGGTAATTTAATTTCTGGGTTTTTGATGAAAAATGGATTATGGACATTTATAGTAAATACTGTACACATATAAGGGATGAAATGTCTTTTAATGTTGCAACCTAATTGTTTGTTCTTTGTTGCTTTTCCCCCCAGGGCATCTGTAACTAGGAGGACTTTTGGACACAGTGGCATTGCAGTGCACACGTGGTATGCCTGTCCTGCCTTGATAAAGTCCATCTGGGCTATGGCCATTAGCCAGCACCAGTTCTACCTGGATAGAAAGCAAAGCAAGGTGAGAATCTGAAACAGAGAGATCCAGAGACTACACTGAGTGTGGCAATTCACAGTCCAACTTCTAACTCCAAAATCAAGTAGTAAGCGATGGGAGAAGAGAAGGGGCACCTTTTTCCTTGAGTCATTTCAAACAGTTTTAATATGATATGGCTTCTCTTTTTCTTCTCCCTTCTGTGGGTTATTATGACCAGGGAAAATGTTTGGGAAATCTTGTTTTAGAAGAAGAAGAAGAAGGTGGTGGTGATGATGATGATGATTTCCATTTTTATACTGCCCGTCTGGCCAAAGTCCACTTGCCCATCTGGCCAAAGTCCACTCTGTGGTTTATAACATATATAACCAACAGGCTTAATAGAAATAGAAATAATAAAATGCAAAAAAACAATACCATCAAAACATAAAAACACATTTCCATAAGGCATTCATAACATTTTAAACATTTAAGATGGTGGGCTGGATCAGGTTGGCTAACTAAGCTCAGCTGAGTCTGCAGGTATAACGTGTTGGAATGGCTGCCTAAATTGCCAGTAAAGGGATCAAATGAATGGGGGGGGGAGTTCACTCCTCAGCTGAGGAGCAACAGACGAGAAGGCCCAGTTTCTCATCTTCTCCCTCTGGGCCTCTCTCGGGCTTAGCATCTTCAGCCTGCCTGCTTGGGATGTTCTTGTAGGACCTTTGAAATAAAGTCCCAAGTTGTGAAATTCTTGTTGAATTGTTCTCTTCCCTATACTGCAAAAAGTTTTGGATACAGATAATTTTATTAACAGTGTGTCACAGATGTAGAAGATCAGTCAAAACATTGTCCCCAACTGATTTTCTTTTAGGAGTTGGCCTATTTCCTCTGTGTTGAAATGGGTATTCCACAATGCATGTGTTAGGTAATTAAGGCATTGTTTATGTGCCCTAGATTCCTTTCTAGAAAAATGAATAGAAAATAAAACGCACGACCAAATGAACCCAATAATACATGCATTGCCCTAAATTCCTCATGTATGCTTAGGGAGATCCGTCAGTACAAGAGTAAAAAGAATTCATTTATACAGGAAAGTCTGCAGTGGTGCTGGGCTTGATATCTGGGGGTATAGCTTCCATATGCACTCACTTCAGTTTTGGACTGTGTTTCAGCAGGTAAAATATTCAACGTGGAGCAGTGAGGACAGTGAAATCAGGAAAAAAGTTAAATGCAGAAAGTATTGAGGGTGGCAGTTACATTTTTCATATTAGTCCCCAAACTTTTGCTGATACCACATCCTGGCAGCAGATAAGCCAGTTGACACATAGCAATGGGAAATTATGATCAATTCAGACCTCCAGCGACTAGAACATGGATGGATTGTAACTCATCAATGTCTTGCTCTAAATCTCCCTTTGAAGTTTGAAACTGTCGTATTAGGTAATCAAAGCAACTTCATTCTTCTTCTCAGAAACATACATTTCTCTCTTTTTTCCCCCTTCCTTGTCAAAGTACTTTTTCACAGTTACAGATATTTCCCATATTTTTGGAAAATGATGCAGAATGAAGTTGCTTCAGAAATGTAATGCTATCTTAATATAATATACCGATCCATTATGGGTTGTTTATTGTTAAATATGAAAAGTCCAAATGGTAAAGAAAAGGTGACAAAGATGTAAGGATCCATGTAACTATCTGATGGGCTTTTAAAATAGAACTGTACTTACCAGATGTACAACATCTAGCATAGGTATCCTTCAGTCTCGAGAGACTATGGTAACGTGCTCTGTATTGAGGCGTGTCCTGTCCAGAACATGAAGCCTGGGTAAAGTAATATGTTACCCAAGCAGCAAATCCCCCCTCTTCACATTGCTGAAATGGTCCAATGGAAAGGCAAGAGCCAATACAACTGGTTCCAGCGACTTTGCAGGAGTTGGCAGAACAACACGAACTGCCTTCGGGACTCCAGCTCCGGATTTTGCCTCGAGGTTAACTCCTGAAGCCTTTTCCATGAGTGAATATAGCCATAAGGCAGTGGAGGCTTGAAATCAGAGTTTTCCTTCTCCTAGATGGGCTGCCTTCCATGGCTGATGAGCCCCACCTACCTATCTTCTACAAAATAAGTCTTGAGAGGAGTGTGAAACAATTGCTTTCAAAAATGAGAGCAGGATGAGATGGCCCTGGTGGATTTTAGTAAGATTGGTATGACCCACTTTCTCATTGCTGTGCTGTCATTACACTTCTCTTAGTCATGGAAATCACCTAAGTGAATGTAGCATTTTTGTGCGTGGAGTTCATTTTCAGAGCTTGTAAAATTATACCAGCAAACCTTTCCCCCACTCATGGTAGATCAATCAACACAAAAGGGAAATTCCTTTCCCCTCTAGTGGTTCTGTTTTGTCAAGGATGGAGCTCATTATTGAGACCAGATACAGTTACCAGGGGTCTGAAATGGTCAGTGCTGGAGTTTTAAGTGTTAAAGTATTTGTTTAGCCCTTTGTGTGAAGTTTGTTTCCAAAAATTGAATAAAATGAAACAGAAAGTGCTGATACTAATTTTCTAGCTGTAACTGAGACCAATGTGAGTAATAGAGAACCTGGCTAATTGTCACTGTCATTTATAGCTGCTTTATAAATCAACCACTGTAGTTCAATAAGAATATAAACTCATCCCCACTACTACGAACTACAGTATGCCTTTGGACTGAGTAGCTGGTTGGGATATCTAGCATTTTCTAGCAATTGGTTGATTAGGTGACTCTGCTGTTAGAGTTTTCTCCAAGTCTGAAAGGTAGTGGCAGTGTAAACTGGAATAACTACCAATAAATTGTTCAGGTTTGGAGGCAGGGTTCCTTTACCTTGATTATTGTGTTCTTTTTGCAGCTGTTCATTGTGATTTAAAAGGTCACATCTTAAGGTTTGTACTTAAGATGCCTACTGGCCATTGTGGTCTGTATGCCAGAGAGGACAGCCTTTTTAAGTGGACAAAAAAGGGTGCTTTTAAAGAATTCAGAAGTTCTTTGGTGGTTGTTTTCACTGTTGTTGCAACAAATTTTAAGTCTGAGCTCCAAATTGTAACTATCTCTGATTTAATGTTCATAATGCTTTTGAAGTCAATTTGAGGAAGTGAATATCACTGGTGATAATGTATGGATCCATAACTGTCTTACTTTGCTCAGCTATGAGATAAACGTCAAGGAAAAGTCTATATGAACATTTGATTACACATTGTGGCAAATGTAATTATTGCAGAAATTCTTTTCATTTAATTCTTTTATTACTCCAGACATTGTCACCAGTACAGTGGTTTTATCATTCATTGCATTACTAACAGAGGATTGTGGCAGTATCTCTAAGAATAGTTTGGCCACATTTGACCTTATATATATTTGCATAAGATTGGCCCCTGTGGGTGCACAGAACCATATCTTGCATACTATTGAAAGTAAAATATGTTGTGCATGCTAGAGGGCTGATAACTTCTAGAGATCATTTAGAAACCTTACAGTTGGGGCTGGTCTTTCTTTCAACACTCTGAAAAAAACTTGGAAACATTACTTTTTCCAGAGTTTTCTGGAGTTTCTGTGAATTGTAGGCTCAAGTTCTACATTTCTGTGCCATCATAATGTGGCATACTCTCAAAAGAAGTAACATAAGATGTAATCAATGGTGCTTACTCAAGTACTTAAGCTGGAGCAGGAAGTCATTAATGTCTATCTAGTATATGTTGGAAAGTTTTGTAGCAGATTTTGGAACAAGTCAATATTGCAAAACATTTGCTGTCTTATTGCCTTAGCTTGTTCATTAGATGGATTGGGAATAAAATGTAAACATTTATGGAATTGTGTTTGTTTCTAGGTTTCTTAACTTGATAATAAAATGCAGTTGTTAATGATACCAGGAACTGATGGAATTTCTTTTCCTGACAGAATTTCTTTGATAGTGACAGATTTCTGCCTTTTCTCCCCCTGCAGTCCAAAATTCATGCAGCAAGAAGTCTGAGTGAGATTGCAATTGACCTGACTGAAACTGGAACTCTGAAGACCTCCAAACTAGCCAATATGGGAAGCAAAGGAAAGATTATCAGTGGCAGCAGTGGGAGCCTTTTGTCATCAGGTCTGTCCCATTGTGATGGAAATTGGCTCTTTGGTTGAAATTAATTGATGGTTGCAGTGGTGCTCAGTGTTGACCTTCCTTCACCAGCAGACAAAGACCTTTTCAATCAAGAACGCTTTGCTCAGTTGACTGGTTGCTGGTTGTAAGGAGAGGGCTTTTAATGAGTGGAGGTTGCCACTTTTTATTCCTGCGCTTTAATTGATCTTAATCTGAGTTATGTTAACATTCATTCATTCATTCATTCATTCATTCATTCTGCCCATCTAGATTGAAGTCTACTCTGGGTGGCTAATAACAAGTTCATAAAACAATAACAGTATAATATAACAACAATAACTTAATATGATTCAAGATGGCAAAAATAAATTAAATAGTGACAGGAGGGAAGGGCTGCCTAAAGAGCCAGGTCTTGAGCTTGCTCTTAAAAACACCCAGCAAGGGAGCCAGGCAAATTTCTGGGGGTAGACTGTTCCAGAGACAATGGATCACTGCCGAGAAGGCCCGGTTTCTTGTTCTTTCTCTCCGGGCCTCCCTTGGCATTAGGCCCTTGAAGCGCCCCTCCTGGCTAGAGTGAGTGATATGGGTAGATCTAGGTGGGAGATGGCATTCCGCCAGATATTGAGGTTCTAAACTGTTTAGAACTTTATAAATCATTGTTAATACTTTGAACTCAATGTGGAATTGAATGGGCAGCCAATGCAGGGCAGCCAGAGTGGTGGAGATATGTTGATGTTTTATCACCCTGGTGAGATGTCTGGCCGCCATATTCTGCACCATTTGAAGTTTCCGCATCAATCTCAAAAAGTAGCCCCACATAGAGTGCATTACAGTAGTCTAATCTCGAGACTCCAGGTGCATTGACCAGAATGTTGAGCGCCCCACCATCAAGATAGGGATGCAGCTGGGCAATTCATGTCATCATATGTTTCATATTTTAGCATAATTATTTGAATGTGTGTTGTTGGTTTTTGTAGTTGTTGTTCTGTTTTTGTATCTAATCTTAAGTGTGCTTCAGTCCCAGCCTTGGGAGAAAGTTGGGATATCAATCAATCTGTTGGTTTGCTGGATGATCACATTTTAGGACCATGTTTAGGATGGTCAAATAATGTGGAATAACTTGGTCCTAGTTTATCTATGACAGCTAGATCGACATTAATATGAGCAAGTATTCTTACATCTTATTGGGCGAATACAAGTTATTTTCAGCACACTTTCTGTCACCCATTTTAGCTCATACAGCATCTGATGTGTAGTAAATCTCTGAAACCATTTGGCAGTAAAAAAAAGAGCTAAGATTATCCCTAGGGTGAGAAAGCTTACTCTAGTTTGTTTTGCTCACCATATGGTGATCAAAAGGGTATTCTTAACTTGCTTTCTCATCAGATGTCTTTCTGCATCTATTTGGACCATCCCTGTACATGCCTCTCCTTTTAAAAAATGTGCTTATTGTTTGCAAAGATTTTTGTTAAATTAAATTAAAAACCACAGCAATCACCTACATTGTTTGCTCTGAGTATATAGAATAAGGATTTAGTTCCAACAGGTGGGGTATAATCCATCACTGTGGTGGAAAAATTTAGCCTAACAAGATTGCATAAGTGGTGACACTATGGAAGGATGGTCTTTGACTCACCTATCTGACATAGACTGCAGTCAGATTAGCAGTGCAGGAGTCAGACTGATCTTATCAGTGCAGAAAACAGTTGAACTGCAGTAGATGTATACAGATAATAAAAACATAACCAGCTCTCAGAATTTAGCAGAATGTGTGGCTCTACCTGCTCTTGTAATCAGGGGAAACCAACCTGTCTTATTCAAAAGTGCATCTCACAGGGAGGGTAAAGTCAGGGAGCAGAGCCAAGTATAGAAGTCTCTGTTTCAAAATCGCAACAGCTTGATTTTTCTTCTCTCCCAGCCACAGAATTGCAACAGTCATATTTCTGGAAAAAAATACTGTGGGGCTTCATTCTTTGATATTCTGGAATGAAAGCTACCCCGCAAGTGCAGTGCATTATTATATTTCAAGGGTCACCCACCGCACACCCCATGAAGTGTGGAAAATGTTATACAGTCTTGTGAGAAATCTACAATAAAATAAGTATGCAGTGTAGGACAGCCGTCTGCTTATGATTACAGAGGAGAAAGAATCCTCTGGAAATGCACAGGCTCTCAGATGAAATTTGCCTGCTCCTTCTAAGATCAACAAAACTGAGTTTCATCTTTGTGTTACTTTAAAACACAGGCTGCTTTTACCTTGGAGAAGTTTGGCAGAGGGTTGAACTAGGCCGAGAATAAATCTACAGGGAGCTTCCACAGCAATTCCATTCCTTCTGATGACTTTTTTCTTCCTCCACCCTCTCAGGAGTGCAACAAACAGAATCTTTTATTGGAATAGCAGGGGTGATGAAGCTTCTGATTTGGTCTTGGAGTACTCTGCATTTTGTTTGTTTGCTTGCTTGTTAGTTTGTTTGTTTTGGCTTCTCTCCCCCTGACTGTTTGAATAAGATAATCAAAACCCAGGAAGTGCTCATTGTCTCCTTCAGGAATTCCTGTGCTTGCGGGCAACATTCCTGCATTTGTACCAGTTAGATACCAGCTGCTGCTGCTGCTGCTGCTGTTGTTCCTTTTCACATAAAAATATTAGCTTTGCCTTTGGGGGCACAACTTGATATGTTGGTGAGAGACCCCTGTGGTCAGATCTGTGTTGTTGCCACAGCAAGGATTGAGGATCGGGATGATTTAAATCAGAAAACCTGTGGGCGGGGGAGGGAGCCCCAAACCTTTCCTCTCCTGCCTTCCTTTGTTCCTTGGAGCTTCTATTTCCAGGGACATTTTTCATTTTTCTCTCAGTTGCTCATATTTACAGATAAGAGAGAAGCAGTTTGGTGAAAGAGGGGAGTTGTGTGGGTACTAGGAGATGGAATTGCCTCCAGTTACTACTATCCCCAAAGGTTTAAAAAGATAGTGGTGTACTTTTTTTGTTTTGGTGAAGGGGCTGAAATGTTTCCAAGATCTGGCTTTTCTGCATGAAATCGGCAGACTGTTTAGGCCCAGTATGTGTTTCGAAGATGTAGGCCTGTTGCCATCACAGTTACATTTTGTTTCAAACATTAGCATGCGTCAGAGCTGAGAATGCTGGATTCTGTCATTTGAGCATAACCTTTGATCCAAATGGAGGTGTGAGGTCTTGGGTAGTGTTGCCAGTTAGTCTGAAGACTTAGGGTACTCCCCATAATTTGATGGCTTAAACATACACACAGAAAAAGTGAGTTGCAGGATTAATCTGTTGTCCTAGAGCCAATTTAGTTTGCCAGCTTTATTACAAAAAATGCAGGAAGGCCTGGAACTCTAAATTGTGCATGTATATTTATGGCTGAATATTCCACCATTCAATACAAAAACACGAGATTAATAATCCGTTTGAAAGTGCCAGTAACCTCACAGTAATTGGACACGGTACTGTACACATTCTTTTCCATTTATGTTTGGATGCATTTCTTCTTATTTGGATGTTAAAAGTTTATTTTGAATTAGCTATAATTGTGAATTGTGGTGAGCCTTTCACATTACTGGATACAGGGGAGGAAGGGGAAGATGTGCACATGATTGGTATTTTGCTCTTCAGACATTTTCTTCTGTAGCATTAAAGTGGGCAGGTGGTACATCTCTCAGCTGGAAATGTTTTATGCTTAATATACAAGTCATCCTCTGCAATAGCAGAAAATACAAGAAACCCAATCTGTCATTTTTCATCTCATGTTGGTGGAGGTAGACAGGGAAACTCACTCACTCCTTCAGCTTTTGAACATAGTTTATCAAACAGAAAAAAAAACCCAGCTCTGGCACACACACAAAAACCATTTACTTCCTGGCTAATAACAGGAAAACTAAAATTTATATAATTACTAAAAATATATAATTGCACAACAGCCTTCAAGAAAAAATAATTTGAGTTTGGGGAATGAACTGGCCCATTGTTCTGAATGAGAGCATGCTATTAAAGAGGAAATAGTAGTCAGTAGAAAGACTACTGACCCAGAAGAAATATGCTTTTGTTATTTGGAGGTTCCTCTGACTTACTAAGTGATTTTGGCCTTTTCTGTCATTTTTCTTCTAAGCTTTTCATCTATAATGAAATGTTATAGGTGAAAATAGTGGCTTCTGCCAAAAATGTCCCTTCTCTGTGATCCCTTCCTTTTGTCCCTGCTAATAGAGCAACCAATGACATGACATCATTGAGCATTGGGTTTGCCCATCATGGTTCCACTTCACTGTCTGCCGCTTCTGCAAAGAGAATAGCATGCCGGTAGCACAAGACATTCTGACAAAAGTGTCCCATCTCTGTGATCCCTTCCTTTTGTCCCTGCTAATAGAGCAACCAATGACATGACATCATTGAGCATTGGGTTTTTGCCCATCATGGTTCCACTTCATTGTCTGCCACTTCTGCAAAGAGAAGTAGCATGCCGGTAGCACAAGACGTATTTTGTCTTATGGCAAAGAAAGAAAACCTAGGTGGAGGGCTTCTTTTTGTCAATCAGTATGCGTTTGTAGAATGTTCAACTTCGTAAAGCCTTTTCCCTCCTAGGAAAGAGTAGGACTTCCCCATTGTACTGGAATCTTACTGGTGTTTGTGCATAGTTTGCATAACTTGCTAAAGCTAACCAATGGGGCACACCTGGATGGTGCAATCAGGTGTCTGACCAGGCACACCTCCAAGGTAGACCTGGACACCTCATCCAGTTAGCCACAAATAGTTGCAGCAAGTTACACAGAACTGGTACAAACATCAGTATGATTCTCACCATTGTACAGTGGACCCTCTACTTAAGGAATTAATCCGTATTGGAATGGTGGCTGCAAGTCGAATCTAAATTTTGCAGCCAGAGAAGTCTGTAACTCGAAAAATCTGTAAGTCGAGCCGTCTATAAGTCGAGGGTCCACTGTATCCGGCTTCTTGTTCTACTCTCCCCTCCCAGACATATGCACGTGCACATAGA